GTTTACGATATTCACTTACTTTCTTTTTATTCTCTACTTTGTCCTCATTTACATTCCGAAGACGTTTTGTCTTCTCTTTTCCTTCTTGATCAATTTTACTTTGTACCTGTCAATACTAGTTGTCTTTTTAAATTTTCAACTTTTGGCTTTGTTTGTCCACAGTTCCGTTCATTGTACAGACACACCACACTTTGCCTATTCATCTCCACCTCATGGTAGGTTTTTAGGTTGTTCAAAGATTTGTGTACTACCAATAAAGCAGCTATGAGCATTTGTATACAAGTCTGTGTAAATCTGTGCTTTTATTTCTCTTAGGTAACACCTAGGATTGACATTTAACTTTTTAAGAAACTGCCAGATTGTGTTCCAAAGTGATTTCATCATTTTATGTTCCCACCAGCAATGTGCGAGGGTTCCTTTGCTTCACATTCTTTCCAACACAAGGCATTGTTATTAATTTTGTTTTGAACAGTTTATTATCTCTCAAAGAGTTTTAAATGCCAAGGAAATGTTGGTTATATTTATCCATGTCTGACTATCTTGGCTGGAAGTAGAAGTATAATAATTTTCAGTTTCTATCTTTTTCATTCTATACTATTTTGAGCTCTTTCCATGTTGCTATATGTATGCATGTATATATACTTACATATGTGTATATATTTCATTGTTTTCTTTAAGTGATACTCAAAAGTATGCACTCACCACATTTTACTTACCTGTTTCTTTGATATAAATTCCTCTGACATGCATTCCAGAGTGGGATTGCTTGGTCATAGGCTTAAGCATATTTTATTTTACTAAATACTGTCCAAATGTTTACCAGAATAGTTGTATCAGCACTCACACCAGCAGGGCACAGGAGTTCCTGTCTTCCATAGTCTCAAGTACACTTGGTATTGTCCACATTTTCAGTTTTTACCCTTCTGATGTAGCTATTTGAGCTCACCAAGGTTCACCTCAGGGGTTAGCACTCTTTGAAAACTTTCTTTGTGCCATCCATCTGAGTTAGGTGTGCCTTCTCTGTGCTTTTGTGATTTCGATGCCTAACTTGGCCATTCCACTTAGCAAACTCGGTTATTGCCACTTTCATTGTCCTTCTTTCTATGAAGTTGAGGGCACCTTGAGGGCAGGGACTGTGTGCAGAGATGCTAGTATTGCTCGCTTCCCACTGCTCCTGAGATGAACACGCCTCCTACACCCCTCACACAAAGGCAGGGGAGCCTCCACCATGTGACTGTGTCCTCTCACCAGCTCCTCTAGACAGGCTACAGCTGACTAGACCAGGTAGTGAGTGGCCTGCACAGAATCTTTTAGGTGAGCCATTTGAGTGGCTCTCTTCTTTGCAATCATTTGAGGCGTGTGAACAGACGGTCTTTTGCAACCTGTTTCTCCAGCAATGGGCAGTGTGCCTGGTGGAAGGAAAGGGCTCAATAAACATTTAAATGTGTTACATCCTGTCATTGTACAAATTAAGAAAATTAAAAGCAGGTCATCATTCAGAAATGTTTCTCTATGGCAGGATGGGGTTTTTAGTACCTCCATCCCTTCGTTCCTCCTCGTCCTCCCTTCAGGAGGGGCGGGCATCGTTGAGCTGCGCACCAACATCAGGCTGAGAGGCAATCAGGAGAAATAACAGAGGTTTGTTGGTGTCGTAATGCACTCCCTGCAGGATACAAGGACTGGCTGTTGCCATGCAGGACAGAGTCTTGGCCTGTGGAGCGGGGACCCTGGGAGTTGGGCAAAGGGGTAAGGAAGGAGAGAAGAAGCAGACCTAAAAAGAGGGGGCTTCCGGATGCTCATCTAGGCTGCACTCTGTTGTCTCAAATATAGCCCGACGAGAAGAGTGCAGACAGGTTTTGCAGCCGTGTGGTCCTGTGTCGCTTAACAACAGGGATACATTCTGAGAAGTGCAACAGGAAGTGATTTCGTGGTTGCTCAAAGTGCACAGAGTGCACTCACACAGACCCCGGTGGTGCAGCCTACGACATGCCCAGACCACATGGCACAGCTATTGCTCCTCGGCTGCCTGTGGGTTGGTCCTACTGTAAGAGATGGCTGTGGGTTCACTCTGCATGTGGTGCATGGGCCATTTGAATGTAGGTAACTGGAGGCAGAGCTCTTTATTCCTGTAAGCACGTTAACAGGACTCAAGGGCTCAAATATTTTGTACTACCAGTGATCTGCTATCTCTATTTCCACTTTCCTCAGCGTTAACCTTTGAGAATCCTAGAGTCATGACTACTTGTGTTGCAAGAGTGTAGTGTTTACGATTTCTTGGTCCTAACTTCCCTGTTTAGTGTGGGATCGACACAGTCCTGAGTCTTCCCTCCAGCCTTGCAAAAGTGGGAAGATTAGAACAGAACCAGTGGTTATAAAGATTCAGGGGGTTCAGTCTTGTAAAGCCTGGAGAACCTGTCCCACAGTAAATGCCCAGGAGATGTTAGCTATTGCTTCTTCATGAGCAACTACTACTGTTTTGTATGAATGGACTTAGAGTCTCCGTGTTTGATCATTCCCATTTCCTGTTGTTGATTATTTGTAAAACCAGAGCCACCTGTGCTATTGTTGGCCCAGCAATAAAGATGGTGTTTAAAAGTTTTTTAAACGACTGAGTTATTTGTGTTTTGCATGAGTACATTAGCAAGCAGCCACGCTGCACTGTCCCCTTCACCCGTGTGTTTTCTGTTGTTGTATATTATTTTTCTTGTGCACTTAATGTTATGTGAAAACCCACGAAGAGGATAAGAGCCAGAATGTAAGCCCCAGGAGGGCAGGAACCAAAGCGGGCTGGTCCACCCTGCATCTCCTGTAGCACGATGGGCCCTTACACAGAATAGACACTCAGTAATACTCATTACACGACCATATAAACGAAAGAAGGGCAAGAATTTTGTCAAAACCACTTCCCTTTGGGGACAGGGCATGGGCTTCCACAGGGAGAGACAGGCGAGTCACTGTGTCGTTGAGACAGACCTGGGTTGGTCAGGTGCAGAAGGACAACGAGGTCTCTCCCTGAGACCCGGATGTGCTCTCGGTGGCCGCGGCCCTGGCGGACCACAGAGCCAGCACACAGTTTTCCACTTGAGAACACGAGCTGGGAGGTAAGGCAATGCCCAGTGTGTGGACGTAGGTGGAGCTGAGGGCAAGTGGGTCAGGCAGGGAGTCAGAACATTTCTACCAGCTCTTTGGGACCACAAGTCAAGTAGTTATTTGAAGAGTGCAAGATTTATATTTTGGAGACTTGTCTGTTTTAAAGCTGTGTTTTTACTTTCTTTTCTTTTTTTATGCTTATCTGAGGACAGGCTTTCACTGATCTGAGAGAGAGAGAAACAATGATGCAAGAGACAAACATTGATCGGTTGCCTCCCCTACAGGCCTGACTGGGGATCAAACCCGCAACCACGGCCCGTGCCCTGACCGAGATTAAACCTGCAGCGTTTGGTGTAGGGATGATACTCCAACCAGCTGATCCACCCGGCCAGGGCTAAAGCTGTTTATAGTTTTCTGATATCGTTTCCTTGTTGCACCTCTGTAGGTTAATTCAGCTAGTCCTAAGGAAAACCAAGCAAGCGTCTGGACCTGACCTTTGGGAGGAGTCTGAGTGGGCGGGGCTGTGAGAGAATGTGAAGGGGAGCCCCCTCCCCACAAGGAGGCACTCCTTCTGGAGCTAGTCTCTGCTGAATCCTCAGGGGGTGCCATGTGTTAACAAGGCAGACCCTTCTCTTACGGTTCTGTCTGGCCAGAAAATACCCACAGGAAGGACTTTGCTTCGGGCCTTCAGAGAGTCCCTACCAAAATTATCTTTCCTTTGTCATAACCCGAGAATTGTCCGAAATACTTGAAACATAATTTCAGACACTGGCCCACAGGTAGCACGAGACTGTGGTCCCTGAGAAAAGACAACAAGTGAGGGGAGCCCAGCCCGGCCAGGCCCTGTGTGCAAGAGTGGCCGAGGGGAGCCCAGAGTCCAGCCAGTGCAGCAAGGCGAAGAGACAGAGACCGGGGCACAAGGGGCCAGGGTGGCTGGGATTTACAGAGCACAGTATCTGAAAGTAAGGAGCTACGCAGAGAAAATTCCAGAAAGACCCCTTGAGTTGTCAGCTGAACAGCAGTCTATGTGAACCCCATGAGGCTGCCAGAAGGACAGCCGAGGAAGCAGCGTCACCAGAGCCCAGGCAGCGCGGAGACTGGTTCACGTTCCCTTCCCCGGGGTGGGAGAGGAACCCAGGGGCCAGAAGTCCTGGCAGCAGCTGCTCAGCCTTTTCTAACTGGGGATGGGGTGCTGGTGCAGAACACATCTCAGCTCCAAAATGCTGCAGGTGGAAGGGAAGGAGAGGAGAAGAGGGAAGAGAGGGGGCTTCTCTGAATGGTTGAAGGGAGAGCTAGTTAGAAAGATAAAAACAAGTGATTCATGCACTTGACATTTTATGGAAATGTTAGAATTACTGCCATAAGACAATGTGCCTGAAGAAACAAAGGGGTGCCTATGATGGAGAAAGTTCTAACACCCTTTCCACACATCACATCCATGGGCCATCCCCATGCACCGCTCAGGTACCGAGCCTGGGAGGTCCTGCCTCTCACTAGGTGCTGAGGCTCAGCGACCTCACAGACCTCGTACCTGAAGCTGGACGGTTGTCTCACGGGCAACTAGAACTCCAGTGCAAGAACATCTCTAAGTGAAACCTCCAGAGATGTGAGGAACCAGGCAAGTGTTGCTTCCTTTACTGACAGCAAAGCAATTCTCCTATAAGCTGGACCTCAGTTACTGTTCCGTTGCTTGGGACCCTCTCCGCAGGTGGCCGAGCAAGGCTTGAGACGCCGTGTCCCACCACGTCCTTGGTCTGCGCTGCTTATCGTCCTCCAGGAGCGTGAAGGCTCCTTCTCATCAGGTGTCCATTCACCATCCCCACTGAGAAACGATCCCACCGTCCAATCCTTACCAGTACGCCCCAGGCTCGCCGGGTTTTCATGAGAAAAAAAATGTGACGCGACACTTGTCAGTGACATATTTTAAGCTTTATTGAAATTCTTTCTTACAAAAGATCTGATGTCCTTTAGGCCAGGCCTAATTTCCTGTAGTCCCTGAAATGCAGGTCCATGGGGATTTCCATGTCCTCTTAAGTAGGTATGTAAACTAGTAGACTTTCATTTTAAGGTTCAAACACTGATCACCGTCATTTTTATTGGATGTAAAACAAGACCTGTGGTTTCCCAAATGAAAAGACCGAGTGAGAACGTCAGGCGGGTCTTCAGCGGCGGGGTAGTGGGGTTCTCTGCCAGAACCAGCTCGGGGATCTATTTCACCCGACGTGACATCGCTCCACCTTTGGTATTTCTTTTAACATGAACTTTGCAACGTGCTGAGCTATGCAGTAAACAGTGCCATGTGTGTATGCGCATACAGGTATCGGTGCTGGGGGAAATGCATGAGCACACGTGAGGTGTGCAAACACAGCAGCTGGTCTGAAGGAGAGTCTCTGATCGTCGGGACGTTAGTGAGTAACAAGCATATTGTGAGCAAAGAACCACCAGTAGCACATACTGATTTACTGGTCAGACAGGAACTGTCTTGGCCCCACCCCTGCAGGGTCCCAGGTGCCACTCCCCGCCCCACTCCCAGGCAGGCTGATGCTCACCTGATAGGACAGGTGGCTGTGTGTCCGAGGCCTGACCAAGAATGCATGACTCCCCCACTCGAGGTGGGTCTGTGCTCCCTCAGTACCTTGTAGCTCCCCCAGCCCTGGAACGCACAGGTGGCCCAGCTGGACTGCCCCCTGGTGTCAACAGCAGAATGTGGTCCCCCTTCACTGGGAGATGGGTGCAGATTGAGGATGTGCAGAAGACCAGGGCCCCTTCTTCCCCTGGAGATGATAAGAAACCCTCATTTCCTTCGACTCCTCTAGGGCCCATCAGGGCACATGTTCTCCTGAGCACAGGATCACACCCAAAGGGGCCTGGGAGGTTCGATATCACCACCTCCAGACAGCTCTGAGATACAGGAGCCATGGCTTTACCCCTGACTGCTGGATGACTGAGAGTGCTGGTCTCAGTTTAAGCCCGATAGCCCCACGTCACCCTCCAAACCACCTTTCCTTTTGCGTGGATGGTTGGCCTGGAAACCAGCCATGTCTGGTCTTGCACTCACACTCCATAGGGTTTGGAGTTTGTAACCCTCTGGATACACAGGTCTTGCACCAAGATCTCCTTGCTCAAGCCTAGCAAAGACACACCGAGGTTCAGGCAGAAACAATGGTCTCAGTCGTTCTCAATGTTACAACTTCTAGGCCAGGTGAATGGAGTAAGGTCCTACCTAAGCTAACATGCCTTATAGAAATGCAGCGAAGTGGATAAATACATTTAGCACCCAAGACAGTATGTAGCGCATATGGGGATCACTCAGTAAGTGTTAGTTTCACTCCCCTTCTCCAAATCCGACTGAATTCCTGCACATGACTTGCATTTCCCCCTCACTCCTACAGCTGACACTTCCCCAAACTAACAAAAGGATGCAGAGGCAGCCTAAGGAGGAGAAAAGGAATTGTTCAGTATTGTCTCTTGTTGGGAAGGGAGATGTCAAGGCTCTTGGCTGAACCGAGGTTTGGGAATTATCCGAAGCAGGAATGCTGTTATACCTCCCTCCCATCCCCTCCGTGGCATTTGTCCCAACACCGTCTCAGCATTCTTCCGTAACTAACGGGCCGAAGGGAACATGCGTATTGAGGCGGGATGCACGGCATTAGAAGGCTGGGGAAAACGGCGATCCGGCTGACCAGGACTCCACGTTCAGGAATTCTGGTGGAAGGGGAAGCAGGCAGTAGGTCCCAGAGTTACAGTTTGGAGCAGACGTCCCAGAGGAGGATGGCGACGGGCCACTGCAGCCCCGGGATGGGGACGAGGCCAGGGGGACGCTGGGCTGGACAGGGCAGAGGCGTGGTCAGGGGACCCCAAAGCAAGGCCCTCACTCCAGAAGTGCAGGAAGGAGGCTGGCCAGTAGGGTCCGGACCTTGGCCGTGTCCACTTTCACTCTCTGACGCATGTCACCCCAGCATCCTCAGCATGTCCGCAGTTTGTCACCCCCCACTTGGAGAAGGTGCAGCGGAAAATGGAGGTCTCTGTGCCTTTGCAGGCGACATCATCCATCCAAATCTGCCCCGTGCCTGTGGAGACAAGTCAATACAGCTTCTTAGCGGATACGCAGGAGAGCAGACGTAGGAGCAAAGGGAGCAGTGCTCGGTCTGTCCTCTGCCAGGCTGCCCTAGGCTGTCCTGGCGAGTCCAGTGGCTCCCACCAGCCCTCTCCACCCCACCGAGTTCAAACACCTATTTTCTAGGCTCCATTTTTTGAGGGCAGGATATCGATAATTGATAGTGGTGATGGCAGTATTTATTGACTGTTTCCTGCATCAGGCATCTTACTCATAGGATCTTCCTTCATTCTCTGTGAGATAGGTGCTGTGAGAAAGGTATTGAGATAGGTATTGAGAAACCCATTTTACAGATGAGGAAACTGAGGCACACGAAGCCACTGATGCAAGATGGCTCAGCTTGCAAGTGGCAGAGTCTGAACTCAAGCCCAAGTCTTGCCGCGTTCCAGGCCTATACTTTATAGAGAGACCCTGCATAACTTTTGAGATAAGACATGTGGTAGTCTTTGTTGACGAGTACTCAGGCAGGGCCACGTCAGAGGGACAATGTCAGACAGGTACTGGATTGGGCAGACCCAGTGCCTCATTACCAAGTATTTCAGTGCCAATATTATGTGCAATACGTAGAAGTTTAACCTAGATGGTTCCTATTCTGTGAGGCCCAAATATCGGTGCTGGAATGGCAGAGGACCCCGGAAGTTAACATTGTAACCAGACATATGTTTGTGGCAGGCAGAAGCATCCCTAACCAGAGTAATTAGTTCAGTTGCCAACACACAGGGTCCCTAAGACAACCCATTTGAGTTTTGCCTGCAGTCAGCTCTGTTTGCCCAGGTCTTAAGGGGACCAACCTACAGGTCTGAAGGTGCCCACTCAGGGGAGCCTTTACACGCCTTTTCCAAGGTTGTGCCTGAGCCTTGAGAGACATAAACTTGGCATTAAGGTCCCTCAACAGGTGTCAGGGGAATGGGGCGGCTGGGCGAGGCTCCAGGAAGGAATGGGGAGGGCTTGCCTGAGCCCAGAGGGCTGGTGGAGAGGGGAGTAGGCTGCATCAGTCACCTGGAGTGCCCACTGAGGAACCAGCAGGACCATCACCCATGGTTCTGGTGGGCTCTCTGGGCTGCTGGCCCTGCCAGGCCCTACGAGGTGGAAGCCCCTTTGGGGGTCCTTGGCAAGAACGGCTGCACTTCAGGGTTCCCGGGGGAGCAGTGTGTAGAGCTTCGCCAGCTGAAGTGTGGTCCTGGCCTGCAGCACACCCGCGGCATGGGCATCGCCCAGAGCCTGCTAGCAATGTGAGCCTCGGGGCCTGCCCTGCACCCGCTGAACCAGGAGCTACCTTTGAACCAAGTGGTTATGCATTCGAGGGTGGGAGGCACTAGCACAGCAGAAGAAGTGGGGCTTTGCAAAGTAGGACGGACCTTGACTCAAGACCCGGTCCCATCTAGGGGACCATTTCCATTTTGAAACAGGAAGGGGATTCCTGGGATGTGAGACTTTTGGCACTAAAACGGGGTAAGTTGTAGGTAAACTGCGATGGTTGGTCACTCCAGCACCCTGACTCATTAGGACTACGAACTGGCACCCAAAAGCATGGAGTTAAAGGTCATAGAATGGGTTTCCACATTACTGGCTGTGTCAAATGAGCAGGTCAAATGAGATCATAAATAGTCCCTATACTGAGATGCTAGCTCTGCCGCCACCCCCACTGTCCCCTCTCTCGGCAGCCAGAGCACCTCTCCTTTTAGAGGGCTTGTCAGCACGGACTGGTAAACCCTAAAACTGTCATTCCCTCTAGAACCAGTCACACGAACTAATACTTTTGTAGTGCGGAGCTTTGCAGCATCTGTTGTCAGCGGGACTGCAGAGGGAATTTGGGGCAGAGGTGGAGGGAGAGGCCTCCTTCCGCTGTCTTGGATGCTGTTTCTTCCCCAGAACCTCTTCCCTGGCCGCACACCCTCTGCCTCTTACACAATGAACCCTTTGAGGCCGAGCAATGATTCACAGATTAAATGCCTCCTGGAAAACACGTCGGTTTACAAATCACCCAGGGAGAGGCTGCAGGCCCAAAAGCAATGTGGGGTGAGTTACGCCCAAAACAAATAAAGAAGCAAATAAAGGGGGCTGACAAATACTGAAGAGGCCCAAGGTTAGGGGCCCAATTGTGAACAGAAGACCATGAAGCTCCGAACTCTAGCTGGCGTTTAGACAGGGAGCCCTGGCTGACACTCATGGAGCAGGAGCTGATTGAATGAGAGCGGGGTCGCTAAATCGGCAGCGCTGAGTATCTGCAGTTACTACACAGCCCAGGGGTGAGGGGCCAGTGAGCCCATAAAACACCTCTGCTCCTCCCACGTCAGAGAGGCGAAAACTCCTGTGACTCCAGGCACCGAGGCTCACGTTGGCCTCGGAACTGACTTCTCCTGTGTCGAGCAGATGCACGCAGACCTCCTGGTTACTCCGAGTGTGGCCGGAGGACCAGGAGCAGCAGCCTCACCTGGGCGCTTGTTGGAAATGCAGTCTCGGGCCCACCCAGACCTGAGTCGGAGCCTGTGGTTTAACCAGGTCTGTGTGATGCACGCAGGGGTCCAGGCCTGGGAAGCCCTGCCTGCGTCAGTGCGCGCTCCCACTCGGCTGCCCCCTTGGAGCTCCCTAATGAAGCCCCAGCAGGGGAGCAGGCTGGGCCCTCTGCTCCCCACTTTACAGGCCGGGACAATGGAGCAGCGGGCTGAAGTTCTATCTTGAGGAGGCAACATTGGGACCAGGGGCCGGGTCTTCTGACACATTGGAAGGGGATGCTGTTGGGGTGAGTCAGTGGAGATTTTATTTGCTCCTTGCCATTCATTTGTTCAACACTTACATAAGGTCCCACTCTGTGCTCAGCACTGTTCTGGGTGTTTGGTCTACGTCATTGAACAGAAAAGCTAGAATAACAGTGACACAAATCTCTCTGCTTCATGGAGCCGACATTTGAGCTTCTGTACGTTTATTTAGAGTAATATGAAAAGACAGAATAAATTACACCGAATCCTCTAGGCTTCCATGGGAGCGTCACACAGAGAGCAGCAGGATAACTACTGAACAGATGTTTAAGAGACAGGGAAACGGAGGCCCCAGAAAGATCAAGTAAGTTGTCCCATAACCATCAAGGGTAAGAGACCAACACCCAGGCCTCTGACGTCCCGCCAATCCAGTCTTCCTTCATTATTGAACCCCAGTGCACAGCACACAGCACAGACACTAAGCCAGAGGGTGGAAAACCCTGGGCCACTGCAACCCACTGCCTGCTTTTGTAAATAAAGTTTTATTGGAACACAGCCTCATCACTCAACTGCATTTTGCCAATGGTTGTTTTCACGCTACACCTGCAGAGTGGAGTTGTAAGAGCGACCGTCTGGCCCACGAAGCCTGAAATATTTACTGCTGGGCCTTTCATTGTTTGCTGAGCCTTGCACTAAGCCATCTCCCAGTGTTTGAATTTTTTCTTAGAAAAAAAGGGGCAAAAATTAGTAATGATATGATTAGAAATGAACACTTCTAAGGCACATACTCCCGCCTGCAAGTCTGTCTGCACTTGCATGCGTCCTCACTTCCTGATCATCTGTCTCACAGAAAGACGTTCTCTGCAGGCCCAAGTGCAATTCCCAGCTGTGCTAGATTCTAGTCCCGTCCGTCCCCTCCCAGACCTTGTCCCAGCCCCGCCCCTCCACCTTCTCTGTCCACATTCGCTTCCTTTCCAGCAGCTCTCGGACCAACATAAAATCAAACGTCTTCAAGTCTCTCTCACTCGGGTCTTCCCAGAGTGGCTATAATTTGATCACTGAGCCTTGTCTAGGAAAGTTGCTACGGTGCCAGACCACTGAGAGCACTGCCAGGGACTGGCAGTTTCCGGTAGAGCCCTGGGGAGGGTTCCGAGTGGGCGGGCACAGGAGCCCTTCCTCCGTGTCTTCCTCTTCCCCTCCGCTCCCTCCCTCTCACGTTTCCCCAGTACTTATGCCCCAGGCGCAGTTCCGAGGGTCGGAGCTATGAAGGTGAAGCCCACGAGATGCTCTCACACACGTCAGAGATCGGGGAGTGTGGGAGGTGCTGTGGTAGAGACGAGCACAAAAATTGCTCCGGGAGCATAGTGTCGAATGGGGTGGGGGTGGAGAGGGGGATGGAAGGGGCCTTGTGGGGGGACAACCGAGCTGACTGTAGAAGCTGAGTAGGAGCAGCCAGGAGGAGAGAAGGGAAGGGCGTTCCAGATGGAGGAGACTAGGAATGGCTCCTCGAGCACAGGGAATGTGAGCAGGTTCACATGGCTGACGGGGAGACAGGGGAGGAGGCAGATGAGGGCAGGGCCCGAGGGACCAAGCTAAGGAAACCAAACCTGGCCCTTGTAATCTTCTTTCAAAAGTAGAAGGAGTGAAGAATGGGGAGCTTAAGAAATCTGCTCCAGGTCACCAGCCAGCCAGTGGCAGACATCGGATTCTAAGTTGGGTTGACCCCTGAACCTGAGCTTCTAACCACTGTTCTACCCTGCCTGAGGTCCTAAGACAGGAGTAGGGAGAACAAAGAGGAGGGGACAGATTCCAGGGACACCGGAGAGGTAGACCCTGGGGGAATGTGTGGGACCCACAGAGATAAGGGGACCAGGCAAGGGGAAGAGGAGTGGGTGAGAGTGGCCGGAGGGAGGGGCCGTGGGCATGGGAGACCCTGTGAGGCTGAGCAGCGGGCATCCTGGGACTGAGAATTGGGGGGCAAGTAGGGGTGGGGGTGTGGTCAGAGGGGGGTCCGGACTGATGCACAGCCCTGCCTGTGCCAGAATGGGGGAGCATCCCCTCCCCTCTGCCCTCAGGGCTGCTCGGGCATGATGTCCTGGTGTGATCGCCCTGGCGACACTGTTCAGGATCTATAACTGTATCCGCCTTCACTTCTAAATGGAGCACATTGAGCTCAGAGTCTCGGTTGACTCATCTTGGCGCTGCCACACTGAGCCCAGCACCTGGACCATGGACGGTGCCTAGAAACTGCCGTGGAAAGAAGGGAGTGCAGCTGGGCTAGGAGAAAGGGCGCCGGACCAGGCTGGGCTGGGTGGGTGCCCTTCCCCTCCTCAGGCCCCCATTTCCCTCTGTGCACCCGTTCACAACACCTGGCCGGCCTGCCTGTCAAGGTCTTGAATGCTGTGTGCCGTAAGTTATCGGACAGTGATGGGGAAAAGGAATGGCACAGATCTGATCTGTGCACAGAAGCAAGGCCAGCTTCCCGCCAACTGGCCGAAGGAATCGAGTTGCAGTCTGAGAACTTCCCCAGGTGCCATCTGATACCAACATCAAGGGGGATGAAAAAGGCCACAAGGTCTCAGTTTTGGGCTAATGCCACCCATGACATTCAAGTGGCCTATTGTGGCTTCTCCAAAAGAGTTTTTGAGGGTTCCCCCCTGAAAAAGGTTTTACTTCCACTTGTTAGGAAGAAGTCCTCCTTAGACCCAAACATTGAAAAGCAAGAACTTGCTCCTACTGTTTCTGTTCCTCATGCAAACAAAAATGGCAATTTTTCTCGAAGAAAACCATCTGAAATCCAGCCCCCCAACTTTCAGTGCAAGGCGAGCACTCTGTGCCCGTGGGCTGCCCCTGTGGAGTGGGGCCGTCTGAACTCCCCGTGCACTCTGGCCTTTCAAGTGGCCAAGTGGCCGTGTGTGCGGGGCCAAGTGGCTGCTCTCCGCCAGCTGTCACAACAGATTGCACCAAGAGTCACTTTCGGTCAATGCGATTCTTGGTCTGCTCAGGCTGCTGTACGGAAGCAGCAGAGACCGGGTGGCTGGGATATCTCTCCCAACCCTAGACACTGGGAGCCCGAGACCAGGCTGCCAGTGCCACTGGGGGCTGGTGAGGGCCCCCCTTCGGGTTTAGGCTTCTCTCTGTGTCCTCACAGAAGGAGGATAAGGGGGCTCTCAGGGAGTTCCTTTCTTTAAAAATCCTCACCCGAGTTATTGACTTTAGAGAGAGGAAGAGAGAGGGAGAGAGAGAGAGAAACATTGATGTGGGAGAGAAACATCGGTCAGTTGCCTTGGGTACGCACCCTGACCGGGAGGGAACCTGCAACTTTTTGGTGTACAGGATGATGCTCCAACCAACTGAGCCACCTGGCCAGGGCTTAGGGGTCCCTTTTATAAGGGTGCCAACCCCATCATGAGGGCTCAACTTATGACCTAATCGCCTCCCAAAGGCCCTGTCTCCTGATACAATGTTGGGGATTAGGGTTTCAACATAGGAATTTGGGGCAGATACAAATATTCAGTCCATGACAGCAACTGAGGTCTCAGGGACAAGGTTCTGCACAAGAACTGCAGCAGCCCGTCGTGGGGAGGGGGAGAAAGGCAGCTGTGAGGAGTGGGGGCTCCTTGGCCAGTCTGTATGTGCCCTGGCTCCATTTCCCTCTCTGGCCTGGACGCGCGGACCCTCCTCCCAGGCTGGCCCCAGGTCCCTTTAGCCTTTCGGCACAGTGGGTTGGGCAAAGAAAGAATGTTCTGATAATCGGAACTGTCGGAGACAGGCGGGCTTGCCTGGGGGACAGTGAGCTTCCTGTCGCAGGAAGTATCTGGACTGAGGCCAGGTGGCACACGGCAGGGTTGCTGCAGAGGGGACTCAGGGTTGCTGCGGAGGGGACTTGAGCTTTGGAGAGGAGTCCCAGTGCTGGGATTCCCGGGCCCCTTCCTGTGTCCTTTCCTCTAATGCCCCTTACCTTGCCCGAACCGAGCCGTGCGGGACACCTCCTCTGCTCCTCGGAAGCCCAGCATGCGGCACACCACGTCCCCGTCCTTCTTGTCCCAGCCGTCGTCGCACACGGTGCCCCAGCGCCGGTCGTGGTACACCTCCACGCGGCCCTCATGCGGGCCCGAGCCGTTCACCAGCCGGATCACCTCCAAGCCACCTGCCAGCAACAGCCCACAGTCATCACTCCGCTCCGGATGCACAGGTGGGGGAGGGGCCCCTGGGATCTCCCCTGACTCCCCTCCACCAACCCCTCCTGGCAGGGAAGAGGGGCCTGGGGCTGCCGCCACAACCGAAATTGCGGCCAGCGCCAGTCGCGGTGTTCCCACTGCCCTTTATCAGGCTTCTTTTCTCCACCTCTTAGTTTCCTTTATGGGACTTTATTTTCTTTCCTTCTTAAATCACAGTTTACATTCAATATTACTTTGTATTCGTTTCATGTGCACAGCATAGTAGTCAGACAGCCATACACCTCACGGAGTGCTCCCCAGGTATTCCAGTCCCCACCTGGCACCATACAGAGCTGTGATTGCCTGCACCTCCCCATGACTATCCTGTAACTACCAATTTGTGCTTCTTAATCCCTCTGCCTTTCCCACCCAGTCCCTCAACCCCTCTCCCCTCTGGTGACCATCAGTCTGTTCTCTGTGTCTATGACAATAGACTTGACTTTCTTAGATCAGTTTTAGGTTCACAGCAAAGTGGACAGGAGGGTAAGGAGGTCTCCCGCACACCCCCACACATGCACAGCCTCCCCCACTTCCAACATCCCCCGCCAACGTGGCGTATTAGTTGCAGCTGATGAACCTACACTGACGCGTCACTATCACCGAGAGCCCACGTTACACAGCCTGTGCGTTTGGACAAATGCATCCACCTGTAGAGTGTCGTAGAGATTAGTTCTGCTGCCCTGAAATCCACTGTTCTCTGCCTGTGAAAATGCTGGCTCCTGGGCCCACTGAGACCTACTGGGTCAGAACCTTGGTGGCAGCAATCAGGGACCTGTTTTCTCAGAAGTGTCCCAAATGATTTCGTTGGCTGGCACCGGGAGGGGCAGGCTTCGATGCTCTGCAGTGTTCCTTTCGGCTCCAATGTTCAGGGACTCCAAGGCCAAGGAAGATGTCAAAGTTGTCTCTTTTTTTGCAGCCAGAAATCAGCTGGCCTGTGTAGGGTGGAGGTGGGGACATGGTACTGTGACCCAGTGACACGTGGGCAGCGCGATGCAGGAAAACCCCCGTACGAGCTGCTAGAGACAACTCTGCAAACCCAGTGGAGTTCTGCTCCCAATGAGCACTGCCGCCTTAGACTACTTTTTCTCTTTCCTTTTTGGCCAGATGGGCTGGGGGATTCCTGCTTCCAATGACTATGACTTGGCAAAGACCTTGGTAGGCCCCTGGGGGAGATGGCAGAATTGATCAACCGGCATCTGCCCCGCACGAGAGAGGAGAGGAGCCCGGGCTGGGCACGTGCCGGTGACATGCTGCCCGGGCTGGGGCAGCCCCAGCACATTCTGCACAGGGAACCAGAGAAGTTACCAGGAAACCACACTGTTCCTGAGACGCCGAACAAGTACAGGGCAACGGCTCGCACAGGCCTCTTGAAATGTCCAAGGCCATTTGCTCTGCCCCCGCACCTCTCACCATTCTCCCCATACAGATGTACTGAAAACAAACTCCCACCAGGTTGTCAAAAATGGCAGAAGACGAACCAGAGGACACAGCAAATCTGGAGCAGGGACACCTGGGGAGGGGCTGGAATGCAGAGGCTGGGTCTGAGACAGAGGAGCCCCCAGCGGCCGCAGTGACCTGCTAGCCCAGAGCTGGCAGCAGCCAATGAGGCCTGACCCTGGCTGGGCGCTTGGCCCTGGGGGGGGCTGGCTGAGGCTGAGATGTCAGGCTTGATTTCTCACAGGCCGGCCTCGCCTCTGTCAGCGCCCTGTCACGGTGGCCATGGGCTGACTCAGGCCAGGAGGCTTCCACAGAAGCCCTCGTATGGGGCATAAGTAGAGGAAAGTGGCGGGAGGGCTCTGTGGGTCTGAGCAGCCCGAGTGGAGTTCGGAGTGTCAAGTCGAAACAACAGGAAGAGGCTGGGTTGGGGGTGGGAGTGCTGGGCAGCCGAGACTGGCGTTCAGAGAGTCCCCTTAGCCTCTCTGCTCTGGCCAACCTGAATTCACTCCATTCGCTTCTGTTTAGTGAAATAAGGGACTGACCACCTCTCAGGGGCCTGATCCTGTTCTAGAAGCTGTGGGCACATCCAGGAACACAGTCTCTGCCTGCAGAGACTGCTTTTTTAGTGGGAAAGATGAACAATGAAGCCAAAAAAACAAAGACAAATATATTCGTATAACCCAAGTTAACCCAAATATAGCCCAAGTATCGATGAGGGCATCGATGGACACGGAAGCACAGAAAGGGAATGGACAGCGAGTAGAGGCGCCGTTTGGGATGGGGACACCTGGGCAGGGCTTTTCCTTGAACCTCCAAGAGGGGGGACACCCAGATGTTCACAGGGCAGGGCCCCTGTTGTTGGTTTTTTCCTGTTGCCCCAGATTCAGGGTCAGAGGTTCCTTGCTTCTACACAGAGAAGCAGACAGAGGAGAATTCCTTCAAATTAAAAGCTCAGACCAGACGCTGATGTAAAGAACCCAGGGAACTGTGGTCAGGGCACATGCCTGGGATGCTGGCCAGGCCCCCAGTTGGGAGACATGTGAGAGGCAACTGATCGATATTTCTCTCCCTCTCTTTCTCCCTCCCTTCCTCTCTAACAATAAATAAATAAAATCTTTAAAAAGAAGAAGAAGAACCCAGGGAATTGGCCCTTTCTAGCTGGGCTGCCTCCTTGCTTTCTCTCAGATTGAAGGGCTGGATCACCCCACTGGCGTTTCCTGGCACATCAGTGGATCTAGCGACTGCTTGGAGCTTTCCGTCCAGCTGCTGCTCCAGAGCATGGAACCCACCTCCTCATTCCCTGACCTGCTCTACCCACCCGCCCATGATGCAAGCCACTCCGGGTACCAACTACAAAGGCTTCCTCCACCCGCCTGAAGCAGTTCTGGCTCCATCCTGACCTGGGCCCTCAGTGAAGAGGGTGTAGCTGAGGCACAGATGGGGTCAGGTCACGGAGAAGAACAGACATGGTGTCTGGACTAGGAAGCCTTGCATTTCCTGGGGCTATCTCTAGTGACAACTTTCTTCAGCTTCGTTGTGGGCTACAGACGCCATCATCACTCAGTGCACGGAGCTGTTTTTAGGTACCACTCCCATAGTCTTCGGGCTTTCCTAGTCATCACAGGTGATGGAAAAGCCTTGAATTGTCCAGCTGGCAGATACTTGGAGATCACACAGATTAAAGTCTTCATGTGATACACAAGAGAACAGGCCCAGAGAGGTGACGTGTCTTGTCCAAGGTCCTCCTGCAGTTAGCAGTAGAAGAGCTGGGGCCTGGACTTGACACTTAACTCTTGGGCCAATTCTGTCTGTACCTTCTCTTTTCTCCCAGTGTCTTTAGTTCTCATGAGATCTCTGAGCTTCAGGACTTTGATCCTAGTTACACTAACCTTGAACTGTAATGCTTCTACCCCCAAGTTCACAGAAGTAGTTTGACTTCTCCTAAGAGTTACAGGAGGACCAAGATGGTAGGATGCCCTTGGGAACTGCTGAGTTTGTACTGAAAATGAATGTGTCAGGGGAAGATAAACCAGCCTTAGCTTTTGAGGAACGTGACAATATTCATTGAAGTCCAGGGTCATTCTGCTTCCTGTGCACAGATTTGGGGTGCTGAAGATGCTTTATGTGTACTCATTCTTTATAGGTCTCTTTATCAATGTATGCATTTCTTTTTCTATTACTCATTTACTTATCCATTCAGGTATACTTAGGGAATCCATGCCACATGCCAAAACTGTGCTGGGGGCTGAGGATGCATATATTTGTCCTTGAGGCATTCTAGATAAGAACACAGAATGGTGGGGCTGGTGGAGATCTCAGGGACCACCCAGTGAAAACCCTCATCTAGAAATGAGGAAACTGAAGGTTTCGAGAGAGGAAGTGACCGGCTGTTATTGGGATGCCGGGTGCCTCTCTTTCTAGACCACTGCTCTTTCTGATGCCGGCCACTTTCAGTCCTGCCTAAGCCATGCCTCAGAGTGAAGCTGGTTCAAGGTTCAACTGACGGGGCCAAGGCAGAGGCAGGCCAGCACTCCTCAGACCAAAGGGCACAGCTTGAGAGAGCTCAAGAAAAGCTTTGTCTGTAAGGGTTACATGTACATCTCTTATTTTCCCTAGGGAAGTGCTCCTTGTGGAGAGAGAGATGATGTTTTCTTTGTCCATGACCCTGCAATACTTACTATTATGCTTAGCTGACCGAAAATGCCAAGTAAATGTTTGAAGAATAGATGGGATGAAGACCAGAAGGATGCATGGATACAGGACTTTGTTAGTGGGTACAACTGGAATCCCTAGCCGAATGCCTCACAATTTCTGTATCTCTCTGGTTCCGGCCTCCATCGTGAGTGCCTGGCTGCCGAGAATGGGTACCATGCCCCTCACTGATCCTGCCAGCTCGGGCAGGAACGGTGGCGCTCCAGGAAAGACACTGTGTAATCACGGTCCACACGGTCACTGGGGGTCCTGCCCCTGGGTTACATCTATTTGTGCTGCCTTCTGCAAATCATGGTAGACTCCCTATGTATTGTTTCACCCTTATGTATGGAGCCAGCCATGGGGACACAGAAGTATATTAACCCTGCTTCTTCCCTGCATGTAACAATGCCTGAGACATTTGGCAAAAATGCCCCCACTAAGGGCCACAGGAGTGGGTCCGAGGCAGGCAGTGGGGGGTAATGAGGGAGCTGAGCCATCCGGAGGGGACCAGCTGGGGGCTGGTCAAGGCCACTGCCACTGCTCTTCTCAAGTCTGGGAGGCATTGAGACGCTCAGTCTTCCCCATTTCCTCACCAGTCACACTCACTTCCCAGGGCTGGCAAGCAGTTCAGTGACAAAGATTCTCTCCTTGACCAAACCCTAGCCTCTACCTTGGTTTATAAAGACTTGAACAAAACACTAACATAATTTTTAACAGCTCAAAGCTACATCCCTTGGTTGGCCCTAGCTTCCTTAAAGTGCCCGCCTGAGAACACTCAAGGTTATCAAAAGAATTTACT